GAACAGAAATTGTCTCTTCTTTATTATATTTTGGAACCATCACCAAATAAATAATAGATGGAATTATAAACAAATATGGATGACAGAATGATCTATAAGCTTGTTATTAGTGAATAAATTGCGTGTCTGATTGTTATATTGTTCTTTAACACCTATGACTGTCTTATGATTGATTTTTCACACATACAGTGACAGTAATCGATGTAGAATTTATAATCGAGACTCTATTAAATTGTAGCTTTTTGTCTTTATTAATTCTTGTGATTTGTGATTGATCTCTGGGATGTGGTGGCATCTGTCATTCAACAACATCGTAAATGAAATTACAATGAAAACTACAGAAGCATTTGATTGCTAGTTGTGGGTGACTAGTTACAAGACAACAGCTTGGCTAAATAATTACATGGCTGTATGGGTGTGAGCAGTTTCAAGAAAACAGCTTGTCGAGCCTAGTTAGGCAAATAGCTTCAGGTCTTTATTACTTAGAAAATCTTATCACGTTTCATGAATTTTTAGATTATAATTCCTCTAATCACTTGATAATTATCAATTCCACTAAAAGCCGGTTTTTAATAAAACATATACAAGTAGGTACTCTAAGCATTCTACTTTTTACACGTGACAATAAGAGGTCATTTCTTGTTTTACTGACACAGTATTCGCCTACCCCGTCCCTTGTCAGTCTGAACCCGTCTTACGAATATAAAATCTAAACCAAGGGTCTAAAACTCAAACCATCCTAAAGGCCGCATGAGAGTACGTTTGATCTCCAAAGAGCCGCTCCACCTTTGTTATCGCTCATTACTCTGGTGATGCCCATCATTTTGCGTGCCACAAAATATGGCTTGGCGGGCCTCGTGGGGCTCGCCTGCTGCGTGTTTGATACCCTTGATCTAAACCAAGCGCGAGATTTCAATGTAAACAAAGAACCGGTTCTTTTTTAATAAAACATATACAAGTAGGTAAACTGTTTTTTCCCCCCAAATGTCCCTAGAAAAGTCCATTTTCAATGAAGAGGTGAGTGACTTATGACTGCACAGAGAAAGTAAAACGTGGATATTTGCATCCAGTATTGTTATTTTTATTTTTTTTGCAACGTCGATTTTTAATATTTTTTCCCCGAAAATTTAAATAAACTCCAAGCAGTATGCGGTTTAACTCAAATGTACATGGGTTCAAACAAATGTAACTCCCCAAGTTACAGAAATTTACGAAGTTATTGGGAGCGTGTGAGAGACGACGAACTACATCCCTCCTTTGTCTGGAAAGAAACTCCACCTCGCATTTGCGTAGGCTGCATTAGTAAAGAAACTCCCGTTAAGTCAGAAATGCAAATAAATATAACAGTGTTTAGGATCCCTTGGCGAACGACGGGATAGAAATTATTAATTGGTGAATGAAATTACTAAGTTTTATTAATTTGTTATATCCCTGAGGCTTTTCATCTATAAATCCGCGGTAGGAGGTGGGGTAGGGTTAGGGTAGGGTTAAACGCTGTTGGAAGAGTATGTGAAACCTTTAACAATTTTTTTTCTTATTTGAGCGTGTCCAGTACTTAATTTAAATAACTGCAATGACTAAACTCCATTGCAAATGATGCAAGCTCTGATATGTTTAAATAGCAAATTCAGGTTGCATCTATGAACTTTAAATTTTCTTGGAAATTTGGACAAAATGCAACTCCTAAAACTGATTTCTCGTTGGTTTAATTTCGCCATCTCGTTATCACATGAATAAATGTACGCAAGGCTGTTCCTTTCCAGATTTTCTTTCTCTTGATTTATGCGGTATTTCAATAAAACAATCATTACTCTCTCTCTCTCTCTCTCTCTCTCTCTCTCTCTCTCTCTCTCTCTCTCTCTCTCTCTCTCTCTCTCTCTCTCTCTCTCTCTCTCTCTCATTTAAAATGATGTTCGAAATAAAATTTAGATCCATATTGCGTGAACATAGTTTTATAGATTATTTTTAAAGTTGGTTCTATTCCACGTGGAACTAGCAGCATATCTTACTTAGCAGGCAGAGACCGTGTAAATCAGGTAGAAATGAAAACTTAAGTCCATTATCATGATCTAGACGATTTCTCTTCTCTAATATAAAAGTTTTAGCCTTTTTGTCTTTTATGTTGCATGTCATAGATTATTTGTCGTATTGCGCAAATACAAACATGCAAAAGAAAAACAAGATCGCGTTCTACAATCTTTCTTGTCACGTACAAACAAATTCATAGAAGTAAGATTTTATCTTGCTATTAACATATTTGATACAGTACTTATCAAGAAAGAATTCAGCTGTCTTTGCTTGAGCATGTATTGATAAGGTCACAAAATGATCAAGTGATGATTGGACACTCCCTGGAGATGTTTCCTCTTCTGGAGAATAAATCCTTCGTGGCATAATCTTAATACGACACTCGTGTATATTTCAGCTTTTTCAGTTATAGCAAGGAGCAGACGACATTGACGTTCAGAAGCTGACCAACTGGTGCCGAGTGACAAAGATTCAGGCAAACACAGCGTTTGGAGGACTCAGACAGCGCTATATAAATGATGTAAAAGAAGGACAAGTGACACAATAATTGATTTTGAAATTGTTTCTGCGAATGGCATAGTAATAAGATTACGACTAAACAAGAAAATGTTATTCCGGTAAATTTTGCTGTTTGGAGACTGATTGATATATATTTACAAATTCAATGGAGAGCCTACCAGAAATCATATTGTAAGGTAAGTGTGTACAATTACACATATTTTAAACTACTAATTAGGTAAGATTTATTAATGTGTTCAAAATGAATACACTGGCTTCATTTCGTTATATTCACGTCATTTGAAGATCTTTCGTCATGCGTATGTATTTTACCTCTACAAATTGTTGAAACAAAACTATCCCTTATCATATTTCACCTGTAATTGAAGCAGTACATGTACAAGGTACATACGTTGAAACAACAAAATCTGTATTCTCTCTCAAGTTTCATGAAATATTGTGCGATGGTCAAGGTGAAAGGGTCGTTTCTCAACATTTTGTTATTTTCGTCTAAGTTCTATTGTACATGTTTACTGACTTCCTGTTGTGGGCGACAACCGGAAAGAAGGCTAAGTTATATTATACATTTTTGTACATTTTACCAATATGTGAGCTTTGAAAATCACAGAAAGAATCACGGAAACTGAGTACTAACAAGGAGGGGAAATAACTTGTCATATTTATCACTTAGACTGTTAACTTACTCGTTTCATGAAATATAACATTTCTTTTCATATATGCCTGTGCAAAATATAAAATTTATCAATTTTCAAGGAGGCAGGCTTATATGTGAACACTCAGTTTATCTTACACTTATTTGTGAATTTCTACATAGGCAAGATCATTCCCCTGGCCACTGTACCGGAGTGAAAACAATCATGGGAATAAATATTATAAAGAATAACATTTACTGTAGTTTCAATTGTAAGCAGCTCCTCTAGTCGATTAGTAAAAAAAGCACTCAGTCACAACAGCCTGCCATAACTGCCTTGTGTGACATGACGGATCAATGTACAATATACGATACTTTATATGTTACTCTATGGAGCACGAAACTATTAATACACGAATATGCAATATATTTCAAGTCAATCAAGTCTGATTGACAGCAAACATTGATTTTGCCATATAACCTTTGAGCTATCTTTTCTTATATTCTTGTATGATCAATCGAAATATATCCCTCTGTGCATATCATATTTGCTGTAAAACAAAACCTCCGGTAGTTTATAGCATCGCATTGTTGTCGGGTTTTCTGTTCAGATTGCATATAATGAATGATAAAAACTCATCTGCTCAGAAGAATAATGATTTGGCGTCCATTCTCGTGGGTGGGGTATGGGGTGGGTGGGTATAATAAGGAATCTACTGCAAATCGTGCTATCGTCAAAATAAGAGCGACAACCAGTCTCTTTAAAAATCAAGAAAACAACCTGATGCAGATTCCTAACCTACCTCTTACTTATTTTACAACTAAAATAAATTATATACTCGTTATTTCGTGATTTGCTTCACATTCTTATTGTCTTGTGCGCATTAAACTGCATAAACTTATTTATGATTCTTCAATATTATGTTTTCTTCTTTATTAACTATTGATTGGATATGGTCTGAAATGTCACTCCTAAGCTTATCAACTCTTTTTCTTCCTCATTCATACATCTATGTTGAAGCCTTCTTAATGTAAAACATTGTAAAAATGAATTTGATCTCGGAAGCTAAGACTCCACACTCATAGCCAATGATCTACGTCAGTTCTTAAGTGACTTTGCTTGTTAAGGCTCTTGTCTACTGAAAAGGCCGATCCATGTTATTCGGATTATCAACAATCCTACAACAAACTTAATTTTGAAATGTCAACCACCGTTTGTTTTCGCAGTTTTGACGACATGTGGAAGCTACTGTTCACTATCAAGCTTTGGTGTATAATTACATATAATATGACGCGTTAGAATTGTTTAGCATTTGCAATTGTAATCGCTAGTCGTCGCAATGAAAGTATAGAACCAGTCATGTCATTAGTACAGTCCAGTTAACACAGTTAAGTTAGTGATGGTCTTTTCAAGACAAGCAAATTGGCACAAAGGTTTAGATGCTAGAGGAAATAATGATTCTCGACAAATAAACTGAGATTATGTAGCTCTGGGGGGGGTTATATAGAAATGAATCTCTTCGCCACAATGCAGACTAATACCACCACCATTTGATAAGAGATTTTGCTAACTATCCTGGCTGCTATTTTAATGTCTATCGTATGAATTTCTCATATGTCTGTCCAGGAAGCAAAAATAACACAATAATTACTATTTCAACTACGTCATTATGTTCATTGTAAGGATTTCCAATGCTTTAATTGCTTTAGCAAAGGCGTTATTTTCAAAAAAGATATTTGTATGGTCATTCCACTTCAGCATTTCACCAAGACAAAGGGGTCAATTGTTTTTGTTCTTGTTTTCATCTCACCTACTTAGATTGGACATCGCCGGTGGCCCGGTGGTTAGAGCTTCTGCCTCGGATGCAGGAGGTCGTGGGTTAAAACCCTGGCCGATTCATACCAAAAGCTTTAAAAATGGTAAAGACAGCTGCCTTTCTTGGCGCTCAGCATTAAGCGGTTAGTGTTAAGACTGGTCAGCCTGGTGTTCGGAGAAAATGTGACTGGGTGGGACATCACGCCACATGTCTGCAACATCATGCCCAAGTGCTAGACATCAATATAAACTGTTACACTGCAGACATTGTAGCGATATGACTGAACAAATGTTAAAGCTACGTTAAAAATCTAAATGTCACACACACACACACACATCTACTTAGATTAATCAATATTTATTGTGCTAAAAGACAAAAAAAATACCCCACTATTTCACTTAATACTCCGATACCCTGCCCCTTAATTTTTGGAAATATAAATACGCAAAGATTTGTTTAAAAGACTTACTTCACAAAAATGTATGGTTCTCATCCACGGGAACGAGAAAAGAAGGCCACCTTACTAGCCATCATGGTAATGTTCTACATTTGGATGTTACATGCACAACTGTGACCTCGTCTTGAAACGTACGCCAAATATATTTACACAGCTATGACCTTATGCGCATATATTTTACCATTTCTAAAAGAGATACCAATTTTCTTTCAATGAATGACCCGATTGCCTAATACTGCCATGTGCCGTTGGGAATCTCTGTTAGATTAACAAAACTAATTGCTTTGATGTTTGCATTTTAATCTTTCTGTTTTTCTCATTATGTGACTTTATTATGCCTTCTAAAACGCTATCTAAAATGGAATATCACACATGGCCCAACCTAATGCTTGTCCTATTCCTTCTTCTGTATAACAGCTTTTTGAATGTTCATATGTGTTTCTTTTCTAGGATTTCATTTTCTGCTCTTCTTGATTGTTTGAATTGGAGAATCGCTATGCTGACTTTCTTTTGTCACCAAATTAAAATAGTAGTTGCTGTGCTCATACTGGTAGTTGATTAGGAATAATGGGATTATTTAGTGAGCTGTAAGAGATCGATATGCTTAATACGGTATTATGACTTCCACATCACCGAAGGGAAGCAGATACTGTTAATACGTGATGTTTCTATGATATATTGATACATGATGCAATATGCTCACATATATTGATATATGATACAATATTATAACATAAACGTTAACATTACAAATACAAGGTAAAAATCCAAGGAGACAAAGACTGAAAACGTGATGTTAACATATTGATACAATGTTTGCCAACCATAAAATTCTCTCTCTCTCTCTCTCTCTCTCTCTCTCTCTCTCTCTCTCTCTCTCTCTCTCTCTCTCTCTCTCTCTCTCTCTCTCTCTCTCTCTTTTTTTTTTTTTTTTCTCTCTCTCTCTCTCTCTCTCTCTCTCTCTCTCTCTCTCTCTCTCTCTCTCTCTCTCTCTCTCGTTTGAATTCGATCTGCTTATCGAATTGAAATGTGTCAAACATGCACTGTTTCTGAAAAGACGAAACTAATTGTTTCTCACATGCTATTATTTTCTTTCAATTTTCAAATATACCTTTTTAACTTGTTAGTAAAACATGTTAGTCCATTGTTTAAAATACACAATATTATCAATTAATTACGGTAATTAATTATATGTAGGATCTACTCTTCACAACTTAATTGAAATTGTTCCTATTCGGAAATAAATCAATTCCATGTAAACATAGAGACCGAGAGACGATCGAAGTCCTTTGACCCCACATTAGACTTGTTTACGATCTACAAGGCAAAAAGGAATTTAAGCGATTATCGGGATCTGAACGAAATGTCATTATCGATTTGACTCCAGTATCACGAAACCTCTTTAGATTTAATAATTTCTCTAAGCGCGCAGACTAGAACTGACTTTTCATCTGTCCGCCGTTCTTTCTGTTAACCACACTCAAATATTTAATATTATTTCCAAGTGGAAAGTAAGAGTAGGTCACGATCATACGGATTTGTAAATTCTTGCACAAAGGATTTTACACGGAATGTCATGTGATGAAATAACGATTTTTTCCTGATATCCTTTTAAGGCAAGGCAGTATGAAAGCCATTTCTAAAGCGTTTACCCAAAACGTAATGACCACATTAGAATTAAAGTCTCTACTATCATAGGAAGATGCATTAGAGGTACTCTGTTTCACTCATTACATTATTTATTACGAATTAAAGAATTGTGTTTGAAAATGGTCAAGTCCAGAATGTAAACTTTCTCGACTGAGGACAAGAACCAGAGAGTTCATAGCCTATTCATTATTTATTGCATCATAAATTGTCAATACATCAATTTAACGTTGGATACTGGTCAAAGTATTCAAGACATCGGTCTTTATGAGAAATAATAAAATCTAAGATATTCTTAAATTCACTATAATAGCTAAATGATCCTTTGAACGGTATCAGTTACACAATATCGATTTAAACCAATTCAATTATTATTGTGCGAATGCTTGAGCATTTAAAGTTCATAGGATAAGATTGAACTTATGTGCAACTAATTCTAGACCTATTATTGTCCTACGCTGTCTTGAAAAAAAAATTGAAAAAAAATCTTTTTTAAAGCAAATCTTTAATTTCTTGACAGTTATTGATATTAGTGGTTTCCAACAATCTGTATTGGAATAAAAATCTAACAATACAGTTCATAACAAAAGTAGTAATAATACAATACGATAGAAATATAGACTTTTCTCTTTTCCTTAGCTTCTTGCACGAATTTTCGAATACAGGAAATAGTGATACCAATAGGCGATATGTTACGTGATAGAATTTGAATCATCATTTAGATCAAGTGGAATATATCGAAGTCATTGCCTTGTACAGTTTTCGTAACTTGACAGTTTTGATTGAGTCTGGATTCCACAGTAACTTTTCCCTTCGACTTCTTTTCACTGGTAAGTCCAGTTCTCCTTTTTTGACTTTTTTTCCTAAATTTACAGGTGCCCCGTCCTTTTCACTCCTTTCATCTTTGTGTGTCCACTTTGGGTTTCGTAAGACGTAATACCTAGAGTGTAGATCGTAGAGCGTAGAACTTCGAGCTATCCCTTCCCTTCCAAAATTACAAAACTGAACAATCTAAATCCTCCGTCACATTATACTGGGGAAAAAGCTCAACACCTCCCCCATCTCGTTAGGTCTGATAAATTGTATCCTAATTTCAAACAGATTATACGGCTATATAGTCAAACTGGTACCGATAGACGTAAAACCCTCGTTCCAGAATTAATGGTCAACTAAATGGCTATTCTAACACTAATATCGAGACATTAGATCCAGACTAGTCTCATTTATACAAATAAATGAAATTCCTTGCTACCGTGTTTGTAACATTTATGAACTCATATATAGGTCGGAGAATTCATCTGAAATAAGGCTTAAAATTCTAAAGACACAATTTCAACTAAACGAAGTACAATTTCAACAAGTTGTCAATGGTTGTATAAAGAAAAATATCATTGAACGGACTCGGATAAACGAAATCAACACAGGTATACCATATCAAAAAATTAAATCTACGATCTTGACAAATAAATCATTGCAAAGGCTTTGAAATGAATCCTACAAATCATCATAGTAATATCAAAGAATTACATACGATTGTTGGAAATACCATGTTTTTCCAAGCTGTTACCTCCAGAACGTGTTTGTCGATTTTCCCAGACAATTCCTTTCCCTGGATGATTTTCTACGAGCGAATTTCTTCTAAATTCAGCTCGATAGCTTTCCTTGTATTTTCCTCTCGTAGGAAAAAACGTAATTTCAAAATTTTCTATTTGCACATTCAAACTAAGCTTTCCGTGTGAAGCCACACCCCCAAAACAGCGTAACCAATCGGAATGAAATACACTTCCCGCCCAAACAATGTTGAAACAAACTAGTTCGTATGGCAAACCTCGATGATCTAACTGATTTCTGGTAACTTTCAGACATGACAGTTTTCTATACCCATCAGAATTTGACCCTTTCCCGGTCAGTTTAAGCAAACTAAGCCCTTAATTATATATCGATAAATTCTGACTTTGACTGAATCAATCCGTACCTTATGCTCTGTAAATGCGGCCATTTCCCCGTAAATCTAGTTAATAGTACACGTGTTCAACTAATGTGTTATATCATAATTAACAATAACAAAACATAGATTGACATAAAAATTTGGTCCTTTACAACCTCAGTAACATTAACGTTGTCGAAGTCAGAGGTAACGGGTAATTTATAAGCATGCAGAGAAAACCAATTAACCGTTGTCGTCGTATATCAGTCTATCTGCTAGCTCACAGCAATGCACCTGCCTACCTAAGACGCTAGCTTCCTCGTGGACTCGCGAGATCTTCAATCACAGATGCGAAAGACATTCCAGCGCGGAAATGTTATGTGGAATTCTGAGGCAATTTCGAGAATGTAAACTGGAATTGACTGGCCAGTCGTAAATCCACATTTTACACTACTATACTTGAAATGTGCATAGTATTTCACCTTTACCTTATTGATACGGGAACACTTCATCACAAAAATTATATCTCGGAGGGAATAGTAATAACAGACAAAACTGTTCTCTGTAACAAAGGCGTCACTAACTAACATTGCCCATGGTTACTTCGGTAGGGGCGCCACTACAGAGCATTGATTCAAACACTTGCTCCGTTAGTGGCCGCCAGACGTTTCTGCATTATAAGCGTTCTAGATCCTACTGTTTTAAACATTTAACTGTAAAGAAAACTTTTTATTGTTAGCGTTCCATTTGCATGTGCTCAGTTTGTGTGTGTGTGTGTGTGTGTGTGTGTGTGTGTGTGTGTGTGTGTGTTGCCACTAAGTTTTTGGCTTGTATGTAGTTATTTGCAGCTGATACCTAAATATGTATTACAACTTTGGATTCAGTGATAACGGCAAATGATTTTAATAGTTACTAAAAAAATATACCTCTTGGTAGGTAATTTTTAACTTTGGGAGCCGTATGTTGGACTGTTCCTATCGCCCCTCTCCATGTGTATTTAATTTACTTATAAATTCAGAACGTCGAATGTCACAAGCATATACAGGGATCAT